TAAGTGGGAGTGGGCGTTTCTCCGCTTTTAAGCGGCTGGCTTGCCCGGCACGGTGTGATTGGATGGGGGAGTTTGCTGTGCGATAGGCTGGGGATGCGAACCGGCCCGGAGGGGGTATCTTTTTGTTGACGTCTTCTAAATTGAATTTCCGCGGGCTGCATTTCAATTTGGAGAGACGAGAAACAAGAATGCTTTTGAGTATTTTTAATGAGAGGTGGTTTGGCGCCCTAGGCCCCGGTGCGGCCTTCAGTTCGGGGAGGCTCCTGCGCTGAAGCGCGTAGAATCCCCAAAAAGGCTGTGAGTTGATGGAGTTTTTTCGGCCTGGTTTGCAGGGGACAGACGTCGTGACCGCTTTCGCTATGCTGTGACCGCTATCGCTATGCTGTGACCGCTATCGCTATGCTGTGACCGCTATCGCTATGCTGTGACCGCTATCGCTATGCTGTGACCGCTATCACTATGCTGTGACACGCTATATTACTGTGACCAGAATTGCGGATACTCAGCTGCGCCGCCACCCGGAAGTTTGCATGTGTTTTATGGAGATGCAAAGAGGCGCTGGGCTGCCAGAATGGTCGAAGTGTCAGGCCTGATGTTGAGGTGAGGGCCGATGCATTGTGACCAGCGGCCCAGCTGCTGGAGGGCGGAATGGGGGAAAGCCCAGGGTCTGCGGCGCGCGTGGCGGCGCCTATCCGAGAGGATTGTGGGCTGTGTAGAGATGGGGAGACAGGTTACAAAGCTGCAGTACGGACTTGAGTTGGGTCTGAAACCTGTTGGAGGACATCGGGAGTTCTCAGGGGTAAGAAGATAACGGTCCGTTGAGATTTGAGATCTCCTTTCCGAGAGCTGGAGGCGGAGTGTAATGCGTCATGGAATCTGTGAGGGACAGGGAGAAGATGGTCAGACCGAGCTATAACTATTTTACGAGCTTAGCGCCTTTGGTTTGAATTTTGAAACGAGAGAGAGAGTCAGCGATACAATTAAGGTGACCAGGGACATGACGAGCAGTGATGATAAAATTGTTCAGGACTGAGAGCCATGTGATGCGTCTAAGAAAAGACATGATTTGGGGAGAGGATGAACACCCTCTGTTGATTATTTCGACCACGTCGAGGTTGTCGCACATCACGGAAATCCTTTTCCTCTGCCACGTATGGCTCCACGGCGCGCAGGCTACGGTCACGGGATATATCTCGTGGAGCGCGGAGGAGATGCTTTGAGGGAAAGCGTTGGGCCAGGGCCCGGCGAACCACTGGTCCTGAAGAATCCCCCAAAACCCACGGACGGGGCTGCGTCTGTGAAGAACCGCAGGGCGTCCGAGGATAGGACGACGTCGCTGTAGAAAAGGAGACGCCATTCCAGCGGCTCAGCAGGCGGGACCAGAACGCCAGGTCGGAGCGGCACCCCGCGTCCGGCAGACCGCGTCGTTGAGGGAGGAGACGGAGCCGGCGAGGGAGAGGAGTCTGGAGATGAAAGAGCGACCTTGAGGAATTATGCGGATGGCGTAATTAAGATGCCCGAGGAGGGAGAGCAACTGACGCTTCGAAAGTGACAGGGATGACAGGGCAGACCGGGAGATAGCGCGGATGCGCTCGAGTTTGTCCAGCGGGAGGGAGGCCTCCATGGCGCGTGTGTCGAGGCGGATGCCGAGAAACTCCAGAGCTGTGGCGGGGCCTGTGGTCTTCTCCTCGGAGAGGGGGACTCCTAGGGCGGAGAAAGCGAGCTTGAATTTGCGGAGAGAGCTCCCGGAGCCGTCCGAGGGTGGGTCTACCACGAGAAAGTCATCGAGGAGATGTAGGACGGAGGGGAGCCATACATAATTTAGCAGGATCCAGCACGGCGCCTCCGCAAGATTATTAGATAGAGAGGGACTACTCCGGCAGCCAAAGTGAGGCGCACGGCAAAGAAAAACTCTGAACGCCACTTTACCCCGAACAGGTGCCAGTGGTTGGGGTGGATGGCAGCAGCTCGAACGCGTCCGGGATGACGGCCTTGGAGAGCCAGGAGCCGGGGCCGAAAGTCTTTATCAGCCAGATCGCGTGGTCCACGGTAGCGGACTGCGGGGAGAAGGGCGCTGGAGGGAAGGGGCTGTTGATGCTCGGGCGGGCCCGGAGCGGGGACAGGAGAGGACGAGCATGAGACGCTTCTTCCTGGAGTGCTTGCGGGTGGCGATGCCCATCGAGTTAGAGCGAGACGGAGAGAAGGGGCCAATGACGGAGCACACGGACACCTCCCGCGCCCGAGCCGCGTGCCGACTTGGGGCTCACGGAGAGCCGGGAAGAGGTTGCGGGACACGAGACGCCGAGGGACCTAAACAGAGCTTGCAGTCCAATGTGAGGGATTTAAATAGAGCTTGCAGTCCAGAGTGAGGTATTAAACCGAGCCCGTAGTCCAAGTGAGGCGTTTAACTGAGAGCCTGCAGTCCGGTGTGAGGGAGTTAAACGACCTGTAGTCCAAGGTGAGGGATTAAACTGAGAGCCTGTAGTCCAGAGAGAGGGATTCAACATTGCCCGCAGTCCTAAAAGAGGGATTTATAACTGAGAGCTTGTAGTCCAAGTGAGGGATTAAACCGAGAGCTGCAGTCCAGTGTGAGGGATTTAAACAGGTTTTACGGTCCAAGTGAGGGATTAACTGAGCCCGCAGTCCAAGTGAGGAGTTTAAACTGAGAGCTTAAAGTCCAGTGTGAGGGATCCAACAGAGCCTGCGTTTTTTTTTTTTTATATTTATATTTATTTATATTTATTTATTTATATTTATTTATTTATATTTATTTATTTATATTTATTTATATGTATTTATTTATTCATTTATTTATTTTCAATATATGCGTTCCAGATATAAGCAGTACCATATATGCAGTTCCATATACTGCATGGTAGTTCCAGGTATAACAGTACCATGTAAGCAGTTCCAAAATAGCGGTTCCATATATAAGCAGTTCCATATGAAGCAGTTCCAGATACGGTACAACGGTTCCAGATATAAGCATTTCCAGATATAAGCAGTTCCGTGAGGGATTAACCTGAGAGCTCACAGACCAATGTAAGGGATTCATTTTGGGAGCCGCAGTCCGAGAGGGATTTAAACAGCGCTTGCAGTCCAAGAGAGGGATTTAAACAGAGCTCGTAGTCCAGAGAGGGATTTAAACAGAGCCTGCAGGCCAAAGTGAGGGATTAAAACTGAGAGCATGCGGTCCAATGTGAGGGATTAAAACTGAGGTCTTGCAGTCCAATGTGAGGGATTAAACGGAGCTTGCAGTCAGAGTGAAAGATTTAACGGAGCTTGGTTAAAGAGAGCCTGCAGACCAATGCGAGGGCTTTAAACTGAAGCCTGCCCACCAGCACGGGGCCAACTGAGCCTGCAGTACAATGCGAGGGGAATAAACCGTCCGCAGGTCTCATACTTACCCACAACGCCAGAAGACAAGGGACAACACAACGGGACCACACCGTACCGGCACGAGGAGGCAGGGATGCGCACGGCTCCCACCGCACCGGGCCAGACCGGCCGTATGCAGCAGCAGGCCGCGACGAGACGAGCAGCGGCAAACCCGCGGAAAGAGCCCGCAAAGGAGGAGAGCGGCAAAGACCCACGGACCACAGCACGAGACCCGCAGCAGGTGCAGCCACAGGAGGAGCAGACCACACGCAGCAAGACAGAGGACAGCAGGGACACGCACGAGTAAGTGAGAGTAGACGAAAGGGATTCCTCCAGAACGATTCTTTGCAGGCTTCAGGAGCATGCGAGGCTTCGGAAGGCCGTAAGTGGGAGTTTCTCCGCTTTTAAGCGGCTGGCTTGCCCGGCACGGTGTGATTGGATGGGGGAGTTTGCTGTGCGATAGGCTGGGGATGCGAACCGGCCCGGAGGGGGTAGCTTTTGGCTGACGTCTTCTAAATTGAATTTCCGCGGGCTGCATTAGTCCTCATTTCATCGCTTTAGTCATCACATAGAAAATTGTTGAACTAGTTCAAAATAGGGCCGACAGTGACTCAGTTGGTAGAGCATTGGCCTTTGAGCCTGAAGGTCGTGGGTTCGAGTCCACCACAAGACCTACTTCACGACTCCCACTGAAGTCTGCTGTCGTTGTGTCCTTGGGCAAGACACTTAACCCCACTTTGCCTGAAGCCCCAACTGAAAGATCTCAGCTCCTGTGGACTCACCACCTGCAGGAGGATCAGTGAGGGGCTGGTGCTCTGTGTACTGGGTGCAGCTCTGACCGACACCCCCCCGACCCAGAAATGGATTAAGGGGAAGAAAATGGATGGATAGATGGATGGATAGTTCAAAAAACAATTTTTCCTGTACATTTTTCCTAAATTGAACAATTGTTCTCAGGTGAATTTCAGCTCACAGTTCTACCATAATGATATGTATGTTTGTTCTACGTAAATACTGTAAGTGACTGTATTTTTGTTGCATAATGCTGTAGAATTGCAAAGAGCATGCAGTAAATATATGAAATACATTCATACAGTATATATGTATACATACACATACTATATATACATACAGTACATACATACATAAATCCATAAAATATATGTGTCTTGCACTCAGTTACCTCTCTAAATACAGTCATGTGTAACTTTACTGTAGTTTTTACTGTAAATGGCTGTACAGTGTATAGTGCTCAAGTGTCACCAAGATCTGACTTTTTTGCATTGAAAACGCAGAGAGTAAACTTTCACAATGAAAACGTGACGTAATTTGACTGTTGTTCATAAAGAACTTATTATAAAGGACTTATTATTTTGACGACAGACAGTTTCATTGACATGAAAACTTGCTTTTGAGGAATCAGCTTTTCATTTTGAGAAAGTGATGCTCTTTTGCAGGTGATCCACGAGGTTTTCCAGTTTGCACTAAATGTTCTGAGAAATGCACCAAAGCGACTGAGAAAAGAGATGGCGATCCTTGACCTGCTCCTCTCCCTCTTTGACCTGCTCCTCTCCCTCTCCCTCTTTGATCTGCTCCTCTCCCTCTTTGACCTGCTCCTCTCCCTATTTGATCTGCTCCTCTCCCTCTTTGATCTGCTCCTCTCCCTCTTTGACCTGCTCCTCTCCCTCTTTGACCTGCTCCTCTCCCGCTTTGATCTGCTCCTCTCCCTCTTTGACCTGCTCCTCTCCCTCTTTTGACTTGCTCCTCCCCCTCCTTGACCTGCTCCTCTCCCTCTTTGACCTGCTCCTCTCCCTCTTTGACCTGCTCCTCTCCCTCTCCCTCTTTGACCTGCTCCTCTCCCTCTTTGACCTGCTCCTCTCCCTCTTTGACCTGCTCCTCTCCCTCTTTGATCTGCTCCTCTCCCTCTTTGACCTGTTTCTCTCCCTCTTTGACCTGCTCCTCTCCCTCTTTGACCTGCTCCTCTCCCTCTTTGACCTGCTCCTCTCCCTCTTTGATCTGCTCCTCTCCCTCTTTGACCTGTTTCTCTCCCTCTTTGACCTGCTCCTCTCCCTCTTTGACCTGCTTCTCTCCCTCTTTGACCTGCTCCTCTCCCGCTTTGACCTGCTCCTCTCCCTCTTTGACCTGCTCCTCTCCCTCTTTGACCTGCTCCTCTTCCTCTTTGACCTGCTCCTCTCCCTCTTTGACCTGTTTCTCTCCCTCTTTGACCTGCTCCTCTCCCTCTTTGACCTGTTTCTCTCCCTCTTTGACTTGCTCCTCTCCCTCTTTGACCTGCTCCTCTCTCTCTTTGATCTTCTCCTCTCCCTCTTTGACTTGCTCCTCCCCCTTCTTGACCTGCTCTTCTCCCTCTTTGACCTGCTCCTCTCCTCTTTGACCTGCTCCTCTCCCTCTTTGACCTGTTTCTCTCCCTCTTTGACTTGCTCCTCCCCCTCCTTGACCTGCTCCTCTCCCTCTTTGACCTGCTCCTCCCCCTCCTTGACCTGCTCCTCTCCCTCTTTGACCGGCTCCTCTCTCTCTTTGATCTTCTCCTCTCCCTCTTTGACTTGCTCCTCTCCCTCCTTGACCTGCTCCTCTCCCTCTTTGACCTGCTCCTCTCCCTCTTTGACCTGCTCCTCTCCCTCTTTGACCTGTTTCTCTCCCTCTTTGACCTGCTCCTCTCCCTCTTTGACCTTCTCCTCTCCCTCTTTGACCTGCTCCTCTCCCGCTTTGACCTGCTCCTCTCCCTCCTTGACCTGCTCCTCTCCCTCTTTGACTTGCTCCTCCCCCTCCTTGACCTGCTCCTCTCCCTCTTTGACCTGTTTCTCTCCCTCTTTGACCGGCTCCTCTCTCTCTTTGATCTTCTCCTCTCCCTCTTTGACTTGCTCCTCTCCCTCCTTGACCTGCTCCTCTCCCTCTTTGACCTGCTCCTCTCCCTCTTTGATCTGCTCCTCTCCCTCTTTGACCTGCTCCTCTCCCTCTTTGACCTGCTCCTCTCCCGCTTTGATCTGCTCCTCTCCCTCTTTGACCTGCTCCTCTCCCTCTTTGACTTGCTCCTCCCCCTCCTTGACCTGCTCCTCTCCCTCTTTGACCTGCTCCTCTCCCTCTTTGACCTGCTCCTCTCCCTCTTTGACCTGCTCCTCTCCCTCTCCCTCTTTGACCTGCTCCTCTCCCTCTTTGACCTGCTCCTCTCCCTCTTTGACCTGCTCCTCTCCCTCTTTGATCTGCTCCTCTCCCTCTTTGACCTGTTTCTCTCCCTCTTTGACCTGCTCCTCTCCCTCTTTGACCTGCTCCTCTCCCTCTTTGACCTGCTCCTCTCCCTCTTTGATCTGCTCCTCTCCCTCTTTGACCTGTTTCTCTCCCTCTTTGACCTGCTCCTCTCCCTCTTTGACCTGCTTCTCTCCCTCTTTGACCTGCTCCTCTCCCGCTTTGACTTGCTCCTCCCCCTCCTTGACCTGCTCCTCTCCCTCTTTGACCTGTTTCTCTCCCTCTTTGACTGGCTCCTCTCTCTCTTTGATCTTCTCCTCTCCCTCTTTGACTTGCTCCTCTCCCTCCTTGACCTGCTCCTCTCCCTCTTTGACCTGCTCCTCTCCCTCTTTGATCTGCTCCTCTCCCTCTTTGACCTGCTCCTCTCCCTCTTTGACCTGCTCCTCTCCCGCTTTGATCTGCTCCTCTCCCTCTTTGACCTGCTCCTCTCCCTCTTTGACTTGCTCCTCCCCCTCCTTGACCTGCTCCTCTCCCTCTTTGACCTGCTCCTCTCCCTCTTTGACCTGCTCCTCTCCCTCTTTGACTTGCTCCTCCCCCTCCTTGACCTGCTCCTCTCCCTCTTTGACCTGCTCCTCTCCCTCTTTGACCTGCTCCTCTCCCTCTTTGACCTGCTCCTCTCCCTCTCCCTCTTTGACCTGCTCCTCTCCCTCTTTGACCTGCTCCTCTCCCTCTTTGACCTGCTCCTCTCCCTCTTTGATCTGCTCCTCTCCCTCTTTGACCTGTTTCTCTCCCTCTTTGACCTGCTCCTCTCCCTCTTTGACCTGCTCCTCTCCCTCTTTGACCTGCTCCTCTCCCTCTTTGATCTGCTCCTCTCCCTCTTTGACCTGTTTCTCTCCCTCTTTGACCTGCTCCTCTCCCTCTTTGACCTGCTTCTCTCCCTCTTTGACCTGCTCCTCTCCCGCTTTGACCTGCTCCTCTCCCTCTTTGACCTGCTCCTCTCCCTCTTTGACCTGCTCCTCTTCCTCTTTGACCTGCTCCTCTCCCTCTTTGACCTGCTTCTCTCCCTCTTTGACCTGCTCCTCTCCCTCTTTGACCTGTTTCTCTCCCTCTTTGACTTGCTCCTCTTCCTCTTTGACCTGCTCCTCTCTCTCTTTGATCTTCTCCTCTCCCTCTTTGACTTGCTCCTCCCCCTCCTTGACCTGCTCCTCTCCCTCTTTGACCTGCTCCTCTCCTCTTTGACCTGCTCCTCTCCCTCTTTGACCTGTTTCTCTCCCTCTTTGACTTGCTCCTCCCCCTCCTTGACCTGCTCCTCTCCCTCTTTGACCTGCTCCTCCCCCTCCTTGACCTGCTCCTCTCCCTCTTTGACCGGCTCCTCTCTCTCTTTGATCTTCTCCTCTCCCTCTTTGACTTGCTCCTCTCCCTCCTTGACCTGCTCCTCTCCCTCTTTGACCTGCTCCTCTCCCTCTTTGACCTGCTCCTCTCCCTCTTTAACCTGTTTCTCTCCCTCTTTGACCTGCTCCTCTCCCTCTTTGACCTGCTCCTCTCCCTCTTTGACCTGCTCCTCTCCCGCTTTGACCTGCTCCTCTCCCTCCTTGACCTGCTCCTCTCCCTCTTTGACTTGCTCCTCCCCCTCCTTGACCTGCTCCTCTCCCTCTTTGACCTGTTTCTCTCCCTCTTTGACCGGCTCCTCTCTCTCTTTGATCTTCTCCTTCTGCCTCTTTGACTTGCTCCTCTCCCTCCTTGACCTGCTCCTCTCCCTCTTTGACCTGCTCCTCTCCCTCTTTGATCTGCTCCTCTCCCTCTTTGACCTGCTCCTCTCCCTCTTTGACCTGCTCCTCTCCCGCTTTGATCTGCTCCTCTCCCTCTTTGACCTGCTCCTCTCCCTCTTTGACTTGCTCCTCCCCCTCCTTGACCTGCTCCTCTCCCTCTTTGACCTGCTCCTCTCCCTCTTTGACCTGCTCCTCTCCCTCTTTGACCTAATCCTCTCCCTCGCCCTCTTTGACCTGCTCCTCTCCCTCTTTGACCTGCTCCTCTCCCTCTTTGACCTGCTCCTCTCCCTCTTTGATCTGCTCCTCTCCCTCTTTGACCTGTTTCTCTCCCTCTTTGACCTGCTCCTCTCCCTCTTTGACCTGCTCCTCTCCCTCTTTGACCTGCTCCTCTCCCTCTTTGATCTGCTCCTCTCCCTCTTTGACCTGTTTCTCTCCCTCTTTGACCTGCTCCTCTCCCTCTTTGACCTGCTTCTCTCCCTCTTTGACCTGCTCCTCTCCCGCTTTGACTTCTCCTCCCCCTCCTTGACCTGCTCCTCTCCCTCTTTGACCTGTTTCTCTCCCTCTTTGACCGGCTCCTCTCTCTCTTTGATCTTCTCCTCTCCCTCTTTGACTTGCTCCTCTCCCTCCTTGACCTGCTCCTCTCCCTCTTTGACCTGCTCCTCTCCCTCTTTGATCTGCTCCTCTCCCTCTTTTGACCTGCTCCTCTCCCTCTTTGACCTGCTCCTCTCCCGCTTTGATCTGCTCCTCTCCCTCTTTGACCTGCTCCTCTCCCTCTTTGACTTGCTCCTCCCCCTCCTTGACCTGCTCCTCTCCCTCTTTGACCTGCTCCTCTCCCTCTTTGACCTGCTCCTCTCCCTCTCCCTCTTTGACCTGCTCCTCTCCCTCTTTGACCTGCTCCTCTCCCTCTTTGATCTGCTCCTCTCCCTCTTTGACCTGTTTCTCTCCCTCTTTGACCTGCTCCTCTCCCTCTTTGACCTGCTCCTCTCCCTCTTTGACCTGCTCCTCTCCCTCTTTGATCTGCTCCTCTCCCTCTTTGACCTGTTTCTCTCCCTCTTTGACCTGCTCCTCTCCCTCTTTGACCTGCTTCTCTCCCTCTTTGACCTGCTCCTCTCCCGCTTTGACCTGCTCCTCTCCCTCTTTGACCTGCTCCTCTCCCTCTTTGACCTGCTCCTCTCCCTCTTTGACCTGCTCCTCTCCCTCTTTGACCTGTTTCTCTCCCTCTTTGACCTGCTCCTCTCCCTCTTTGACCTGCTCCTCTCCCTCTTTGACTTGCTCCTCTCCTCTTTGACCTGCTCCTCTCTCTCTTTGATCTTCTCCTCTCCCTCTTTGACTTGCTCCTCCCCCTCCTTGACCTGCTCCTCTCCCTCTTTGACCTGCTCCTCTCCTCTTTGACCTGCTCCTCTCCCTCTTTGACCTGTTTCTCTCCCTCTTTGACTTGCTCCTCCCCCTCCTTGACCTGCTCCTCTCCCTCTTTGACCTGCTCCTCCCCCTCCTTGACCTGCTCCTCTCCCTCTTTGACCGGCTCCTCTCTCTCTTTGATCTTCTCCTCTCCCTCTTTGACTTGCTCCTCTCCCTCCTTGACCTGCTCCTCTCCCTCTTTGACCTGCTCCTCTCCCTCTTTGACCTGCTCCTCTCCCTCTTTGACCTGTTTCTCTCCCTCTTTGACCTGCTCCTCTCCCTCTTTGACCTGCTCCTCTCCCTCTTTGACCTGCTCCTCTCCCTCTTTGACCTGCTCCTCTCCCTCTTTGACCTGCTCCTCTCCCTCTTTGACCTGCTCCTCTCCCTCTTTGACCTGTTTCTCTCCCTCTTTGACCTGCTCCTCTCCCTCTTTGACCTGCTCCTCTCTCTCTTTGATCTTCTCCTCTCCCTCTTTGACTTGCTCCTCCCCCTCCTTGACCTGCTCCTCTCCCTCTTTGACCTGCTCCTCTCCCTCTTTGACCTGCTCCTTTCCCTCTTTGACCTGCTCCTCTCCCTCTTTGACCTGCTCCTCTCCCTCTTTGACTTGCTCCTCCCCCTCCTTGACCTGCTCCTCTCCCTCTTTGACCTGCTCCTTTCTCTCTTTGATCTTCTCCTCTCCCTCTTTGACTTGCTCCTCTCCCTCCTTGACCTGCTCCTCTCCCTCTTTGACCTGCTCCCCTCCCTCTTTGACCTGCTCCTCTCCCTCTTTGACCTGCTCCTCTCTCTCTTTGATCTTCTCCTCTCCCTCTTTGACTTGCTCCTCCCCCTCCTTGACCTGCTCCTCTCCCTCTTTGACTTGCTCCTCACCCTCCTTGACCTGCTCCTCTCCCTCTTTGACCTGTTTCTCTCCCTCTTTGACCTGCTCCCCTCCCTCTTTGACCTGCTCCTCTCCCTCTTTGACCTGCTCCTCTCTCTCTTTGATCTTCTCCTCTCCCTCTTTGACTTGCTCCTCTCCCTCTTTGACATGCTCCTCTCCCTCTTTGACCTGCTCCTCTCCCTCTTTGACCTGCTCCTCTCCATCTCCCTCTTTGACCTGCTCCTCTCCCTCTTTGACCTGTTTCTCTCCCCCTTTGACCTGCTCCTCTCCCTCTTTGACCTGCTCCTCTCCCTCTTTGACCTCCTCCTCTCTCTTTTTGATCTTCTCCTCTCCCTCTTTGACTTGCTCCTCCCCCTCCTTGACCTGCTCCTCTCCCTCTTTGACCTGCTCCTCTCCCTCTTTGACCTGCTCCTCTCCCTCTTTGACCTGCTCCTCTCCCTCTTTGACCTGTTTCTCTCCCTCTTTGACCTGTTTCTCTCCCTCTTTGACCTGCTCCTCTCCCTCTTTGACCTGCTCCTCTCCCTCCTCTGACACAAACTCCTCTTCTTCTGCCTTGATCATCCATTTTCGTTTGGAGCCTTCCTCAAACTGCAACGACTTATAAAGTTGTGGTCACATCATTTGCAACAGGAGTTTTCAGTTCTGAGTGGTTGTGTTTACTGAATGACAGGTATGTTCATAGAGTTCATGTTTAGCTGACTGTGGGAGGCATTTTGCATAACATGAGCTTCACAATGCATATCGGAGCAGAGATACATGCAAAAAGTGTTTTAGCAAAGGCAAAATGTGTTTAGAGTTTTGAGAAAAAGTGCATGTGTTTTGTGAACAGTGTCTACAGCTGAATTATGTTTATGGTTGTGGAAAGTAGGGGGTAGTTTTACTAAATGTGTTTGGGCAACTGCTCATTTGGTTTAGAGTACTGGGTTTTGTGTTGCCGCAATAGAGAAAAACTAGTTGTGGCTTTCAGTCCATTTTCAAAATACTGAGACGTTTGGGTTTTTAACAAAAAAATATTTTTCCATGATTACTCACATTATAACAAATAAATGCTTGATATATCTCGCTTTGCCTTCACATTGCAAGTTACGGAAATACATCTTAATAATAATAATAATAATAACACATCATACTTATGTAGCACATATTTGGACACTCAAAGACTCATTACAAAAGGACAACGCAAAGAAACAGTTGGCAGTTTTGACCAGTGATGTGAAGTTCTGAAGTGAGTCCAAGTTACAGATGTGTTGTAAGTAAGTAAGTAAGTCATCTTAATCTACATAGCGCCTTTCACAGACCAGAGTTACAAAGTGTGAGCATATGTTTCTCTCTCCACACACTCCACACAGAGATGGGAGCAATATTGTTTAGTGGTAGGGGAAACAACAGCAACAAAAGGAAACCTACGGGTGCTCCTAAATACCAACTCCATTCAGAAAGATACTGCTCCGACCGGGATTCGAACCCAGGGCTATCCACTCAGCCAGTGTGCCGTTGTGGGAGAGTTCCAGAGAGTGAGGGCAGCTGCGGCAGAGGGTCGGTCCCCCATGCAGCACTTTGAGCGATATTCTAGTTTTCCGAGTTTCAATGAATCTACCCTCGACAAAGATCCTGTTTAAGAATCATTGAATTGCGAGCGTGTGTGTATGCATTTCCTTTGTGCTGCTGGTCACATGTTCCATTACTCCAGGCCAGTGTGACACTTGTACAAAGCGTGGGGAGCTTGATTACACAGCTGGACGCTCTGTGTATTTGCTGATGTGATTGTGAACGGTTACGGAAGAGAACAAGCGGCTCAGTGAATGCGGCATAATAAGATTTGAATAATGTCCAGGGGGTGGGAAAGTCTGTGTGTGTGTGTGTGTGTGTGTGTGTGTATGTATATGAATATGTATGTATATATATGAATACGGTGTGCGAATATGTGTGTGTGCGTGTAGTTATGTTTGGTAAAGGACAACAAGCGACAGATGGGCAGAGGATTCCGCTGGGCACAGGTGGAGGCTGGCGTGGGCGGTGATGGCTGCGATAGTGTTTCAATTTCAAAAGAGCAATCAACATGTCGACAATATTTACCACGCAGTTGGGTGAAGGGATTGCAGGAGTGCAGCACTGGACCAAAAATAGTGAAAAACACTTAAAGATGATCATCTAACCCGTGGGCGTGAGAGAACTGGTACAATGAAGAAAGAGGAAAAGGAGGCACTATGAAACATATTTAACATAAAGTTAAGCCGACATAAAACTTTGTCAGGGCAGTGAATGAATATTTAGCATGCGTTTGTTGCCATAGAGACCAGACAATAGTGAGGTAAAAAAGTGGGTTGTAGCAGAGTTTGTGTTGACGGCAGAAGGCCACATAAAAAGACACAGCTGGCCTTAGATGTTTGCTTTTGTAGTTCATTTAGGTGTAGTACAGCGTTTCCTGATCGTTTTGTTCCAACGTAGTGTTATGGAAATCTTTTAGTAAAGCAATCTGAATTAACACAAAATAGTTCTAAGTGTAAGTTATTAACTAATTCTCAACTCTGGATTCAAATACAGCACATTTGGTCTGTTGGCAGCCAGGTCAGCTGAGAGATATAAGACGTGCTGCAAACTGTCTTTGACATCATCCGGGTCAAAGAACAATATGTTCAGGTCAAAGCAGCTTATTACAAGTATCAGAGTTGTATCAGAGTAAGGAAGCGTACAGAGGAGCCTTGAGACACATACAGTATTGGTGCTGACTTCATTTGTGTAATATCTAGAGTAGATATATCCTTGTTTACTCTGGTCTATTTAATGTCCGTAATTTCCTCATTCGTGGCAGACGGTAGCCACTAGTTTAGTTTAGTCTTTTTTTGACAGTGCACAGTAACAGTAAGATCAAAGACAGATGTTCGTCACCAGATTACAGCTACACAGATGATTTTCTTCTGCAGTCCCCGGTTACATGACAAGGAAATACAATACCCTCAAATCAAATCACACACCAAGGGGAATGTACAGTAGCAGATAATGAACCCGCCTTCGCTCAAACCAAGCAAAAGAACAATTTCCGGCTCAAATTGGCAAAACATCCCCCACCCCTTCTGTCTCAATGCTCTAATTTCAAACTCATGCAATGACACATCTCGACATCATGGACAGGGTCTTCAGCCACATTGCATTATATTATAGAGTTCATCTAAGAATTATAATGTTGTACTTACGGGAAGGGTTGAGTCAAACAAAATCTCTTCCCTCTGGTGGTAGCATATGGAGTTATAGACAAAAAGCATGTATTTTTTTACCTTTCATATGTGGATAGATAGATATATGCTTTATTGATCCCCGCAGGAGAAATGCAGGTGTCCAGTAGCAACAGAAACACATGCATCCATACAAACATAACAAATAAAAGATAATTCAAAAAGTAGCTCACATTAGTAATGCAGCACTTTAGATCAGAGCAGCCGCGTGGTTCCAGAGTAAAACGCTGCATGCTTTAATCCGTGTATCATTCGTTCTTTTGATTTTCTAAATAAAACCAACATTGAAAAAACTAATAACGAGGGATGTTTTTGATTCTCAATATTTGAATTGAATGCAAAATTGAAATATCGGTTTGTTTTTGGTTTTCTGTGGATCCAATTAAAACGAAAATGCAGTAAACCAATAATGATCGTCTAAATTACTTTTTGCGATTTCCATTTGAAACACAAGAATCCCCCGGAAGTGATTCGCAAGTGCGCCCCCCGCAGGTGAACAGTGGAGTAGCGGTGGAGATGAACTAAATGATGGGTGCGTTGGAAGACTTTGCAGATACAGCGATAGAATGTTTCTAAAACACTGAAACAAATGCAGAAATATCAACCACGTTTCACCGACTAGGTTTGTCCAAATGTCAAGTTATCAGCTTGATACAGTGGTTAATCACGAAAGCAAACTTTTTGAAGTGGCGTTATTTCATCTTAAGATAGTTAAGTTATAACAAGTAATAATTATATGTCTGTTCTAAACCCACTTTTCTGTTTTAGATCTCACTGGGTGTTCAGCAGGTAAAGGTTTCAGACTTCACACTACTCTCAGCCTTGGCCTGTACCAGTGATCTGCAAAGATGGATGTGTTTATGTCAATGCAATAAAATTAATAACTGATCTACAAATCTCCTTTTTGTTCCTTTACATTTTACACTTTCAACTCGTGTTTATCATTGTAAATTTATGTTACAATATTAGAATCATTGCATGAAAAAGCACAGACTCATCAGTGTACATTATGTTCTGTCACATTTGAAAGTGTAAAAACTGTCCTTAAATCCAGTTGTCCTGGTCTTAATGGGCATTACACATGCAGTGACCTCACAGATGTAAACTGTGTGGTCAATCTAACATGCTGGTTAGGAAGTCTAACATGTGTTCAATCTAACATGCTGGTTATGAAGTCTAACATGTGTTCTGTGAATGTATAAACCTCCTTGTTCCAGTCTTTTTGGGCTCCTTTATTCACAAACCAACTGTGGCGGAGCTACAAGCAGCTCAGTCTGCAGAGGTTAACAGTTTCCTATGACTCAGTGAGGACGCTGCTGAAGATCCCAGACACAGTCGTCCAGTCAGATGTTTGCCGAGTGCAGGGAGCGCTCCTTTCCTACGTCACTGCTACTATCAGTCATGTGTAGAGTCATGATGGTACCTAATGCTACTATCAGTCATGTGTAGAGTCATGATGTTACCTAATAGTATTGTACAGTCCCTGGTTTGCCCTTACATTAGCTCAGTCAGGGTCACTTCTAAACTTTGGAGTCACTGGCTTCTTTGTATGTGTGACTTACAATACAATACAATACAATACAATTTATTCTTGTATAGCCCTAGGTCACAACAGAAGTCATCTCAGAGGACTTAACAAAACCATTGAAATCACCAACACAGGTCAGAGAATCAACAGTTAAAACACATGAAGAATATAAAGCACACACAGAAGAAAATGTCCATACATGTTGTAGAATGCTAAAGTGTCCTGATCATCACCAATCCTTTCTGTTGGACACTAACTGTCCAACAAGACCCTCCTGCATCGACAAGGAAAAACTCTTAAAAAACCCAGTGGGAAAAAGTGAGAAACCTTGGAGGAGAACTAGGGAAACCCACAGGGAGGGAGACCCATATGAGAAAGGGATCCGCTCCTCCGGACGGACAGGCTAATGATCTAGGACCTAAGCTAGCTACAGAACGTGGACCAGTGGACGCTGAACGTGGACAGGTCCGGTGCAGGACTGAAGCACTCCCAGGCGGGTCGGGCGGGGCAGTCCGCAGGTGTAGATGGAAGAGGCCAGGCTCAGAGATCCCGTCATCGTACCATGAAACAGACAATGGGACAACGGGCGAATAGCAATGAACAAACTACAGTCAGAATCCTAAAAATGCTAAACAGATAAAGTAGGAAGGAGGAGAGGATAGTGCTCAAGTTACCATACTTCTCCCAGCAAACTGACTCCCTATGCAGCTTGACTGACACTCTGAGGAGTTTAACCTTCTCCGAGTCTTACCTTCCTAGCCATATGCTAAACTAAAGAGGACTGTTTTAAACCTAGCCTT